TAGAATTTTTTCACGAGCTGTAAGTGTTACATAGATGAGTATTCATCTGACCTTACTGTATCTGTAAGCATTAATATATTCTTTATCTTGTATATGCATATGCCAGAATTCAGCGTAATAGTGTAAAAACAGCTGAGCTGTGGAGAAGAATTATCTTTGGCTAAGTTGTAAATTATGCGTAAAGCTCTGTTTTGAATAACGTGGAGCTTCTTTAAAGTTAAAGTACTGCTAGTAGGAAGAACAATTAAAACGTGAAACAGCTTAACGCACGAGACTGGCCTGCACATCCCACAGCAACATTTATGGTAACCAAACACCTGGAGCTTCACATGGCTGGCACAATTTTTATGTTTCTAGAGCTGCAAGTCAGTGATTCCTGTCATATCACATGCTTTACCCCGTGGCCAAAAAGTGATCCCGCTCGTATTAGCCCCAACAATTTCTAGTGCATTTTTTCCAGTCACGCTCCATTTTTACTAACCAAAAATTCTACGATGATTACGATATTACCTAACGCAAATTCTACGCGCAGCTTCTTGTTGAAGCAATGTTAACTGCAGCCACATGCACTCCGCAGTTGTAGAAACATAACATTTATTCGCTACATGTTGCCACTAAAACTGCCAGTGCTCAAGCTTCACGCACACCACTATGTGCCTTCAAGGAGCCGCGAACTACGTGGAACGCCTACAGCCACTTTACGACAATCGAAGCCTGCCGCACTGCATGCGCACAAACTTCACCCATAGGGAACGAAAGCGAGGGGTGGGGAGACAGCCTGCGTGACTGAGGAAGAAAACGAGGCTGCAGTCGCTCTTGATATCTACAGACTCCGCGCTTACTCTCTCGTCTTCGATCTATCGGTTACGCCTCCAACGCAGACAGCGAAGCCGCATGACCCAGGAGCACACGCCATGAGATCAGCTCTCACATACAACTGTATTATCGGTGCCATAAGTGCATGGTCATCGGCAGGATTCTCTCTTGAGGGGTGCAAATGGCTGGTGTAGGGCGAAAGCACTGCCATAGCTTGGGTGGGTGCAAGTGCTAGTGAGGCTTGCGGAGGACAACTACCCCATTTTTTCCCCCTTACTGACGCCCATGCATAAGCGTGCAAAACAAAATGAGTATTAGATACTGACAATCTTGTTAATAATAAGTTAAACATGAAACTACCCAGTATGCTTCTCTATGTGACTCCTAGCGGGCGTAGGATTCAGTGTTTCTCATGAGTGCTAATCAATATTAACATGCTGATGTCGAAGCGACGCACAAGAATGCACAAATTATAAGACTCGATTGCCATCATAATACGGAAATACAAGCTTAACAGAAAGTATTTCTTGGTTTTGTTTTATAAGTGTAAGACTTCCTTAAACTAAATAAAGAGGGCTAACACTAGACACTTCTCTTCAATTCTTTGAAGAATGAATTCTCTCTGCAGTTACACTACACCAACGTTTATTTTAAACCATGCTTGCATGGCACTGCAAGATTACATTCCTCAATAAAATGAGAGAGATGTCTTCAAATGACGTTTTCTAGGCCTTTAAAGAAAACTCAAAACGGGCAAGCAGAAAATGCACATGTTTGTGTCACACAATTACTCAGATAACACATTTCAAAAAATGGACATTCAGGCGCCACATCATTCGAACTGAACAGCTAATGGTCACAATACTCTTGACTTGCAAACAAGAGGGGCTCAAGTTGTTGTTTTGAGCTTCCATGCATTGCTTTAAATGGTTTCTCAGTGTGTTTGGTGGCACAAGCATTCTTCTTCCTGATACTTGGCTGGGCTATCTCAGAGAAGGCGCACAATAGCAAATAACTCTCCACGCTTTGTTTTGTGCACTTCCATCTGAACCATTGAATACGGCTTGTTGAACGCTTTCGTGTACAGCATCATCCCCATTGGATAGCGATTTGTAACGATACTCATGTCACAGCGCATGAGCATCTTGTGCACAAAGCAAAGCGTGGAGCATTATTTGCTTTTGTGCACCTTCTCTGTGAAAGCACAGCCACGTATCAGGAACAAGAGAGTTTCTGCCACTAAACACTCTTGTCAACTATTTTAAGCAATGAGTGGAAGCTCAAAACAACAACTTGAGCCACTCTTGTTTGCAAGACATAAGTACCGTGACCATTAGCTGTTCAGTTGGAATGATGCGGTACATGAATCCGTACAACAAGCCGTTTTGAAAGGTTGAGATAGAAGCGCACAAAACAAAGCGTGAAGAATTATTTCCTCTTGTCCACCTTCTGAGTGATAAAACACTGCCAAGTATCACAGACAAGTATTTTTGCCACAAAAACACTCTCATGAACTATTTCAAGCACTACGTGGAAACTCAAAATGAAAAATTGAGCCCTTTTTTGTTTGCAAGACATGAGTATCGTTGCAAATAGCTGTGTAATCAGCATGATGCTGTACATGCAAGCATGCAACAAGCCGTTTTGAAAGGTTCAGATGGAAGCGCACAAAACAAAGTGGGGAGAATTATTTCCTCTTGTCCACCTTCTGAGTGATAAACAAAGCCAAGTATCACAGACAAGAATTCTTGTGTCACAAAAACACTCTCATCAACCATTTCATGCAATACCTGGAAGCTCAAATAAAAAATTGAGTCCCTTTTGTTTGCAAGACTTGAGTACCATTGCGAATAGCTGTCCCATGGGCATGATGCTGTACATGCAAGCATACAACAAGACGTTTTGAAAGGTTCAGATGGAATCGCACATAACAAAGTGTGGAGAATTATTTCCTCTTGTCCACCTTCTGAGTGATAAACACAGCCAAGTATCACCGACAAGCATTCTTGTGCCTCAAAAACACTCTCATGAACCATTTCAAGCAATACCTGGAAGCTCAAAATAAAAATTGAGTCCCTTTTGTTTGCAAGACATGAGTACCGTTGCAAATAGCTGTCCAATCAGCATGATGCTGTACATGCAAGCATACAACAAGCCGTTTTGAAGGTTCAGATAGAAGCGCACAAAACAAAGCATGGAGAATGATTTCCTCTTGTCCACCTTTTGTGTGATAAACACTGCCAAGTATCACAGGCAAGCACACTTGTGCCACAAAAACACTCTCATGAACCATTTCAAGCAATACGTAAAAACTCAAAATGAAAATTGAGCCCTTTTGTTTGCAAGACATGAGTATCGTTGCAAATAGCTGTGTAATCAGCATGATGCTGTACATGCAAGCATGCAACAAGCCGTTTTTGAAAGGTTCAGATGGAAGCGCACAAAACAAGTGGGGAGAATTATTTCTCTTGTCCACCTTCTGAGTGATAAACAAAGCCAAGTATCACAGACAAGAATTCTTGTGTCACAAAAACACTCTCATCAACCATTTCATGCAATACCTGGAAGCTCAAATAAAAAATTGAGTCCCTTTTGTTGCAAGACTTGAGTACCATTGCGAATAGCTGTCCCATGGGCATGATGCTGTACATGCAAGCATACAACAAGACGTTTTGAAAGGTTCAGATGGAATCGCACATAACAAAGTGTGGAGAATTATTTCCTCTTGTCCACCTTCTGAGTGATAAACACAGCCAAGTATCACCGACAAGCATTCTTGTGCCTCAAAAACACTCTCATGAACCATTTCAAGCAATACCTGGAAGCTCAAAATAAAAAATTGAGTCCCTTTTGTTTGCAAGACTTGAGTACCATTGCGAATAGCTGTCCCATGGGCATGATGCTGTACATGCAAGCATATAACAAGACGTTTTGAAAGGTTCAGATGGAAGCGCACAGAAGAAAGCGTGGAGAATTATTTCCTCTTGTCCACCTTCTGAGTAATAAACACAGTCAAGTATCACAGGCAAGCATTATTGGGCCACAAAAACACTCTTATGAACCATTTCAAGCAATACTTGGAAACTCAAAATGAAAAATTGAGCCCCTTTTGTTTGCAAGACATGAGTACCGTTGCGAATAGCTGTCCAATGGGCAAGATGCGATACATGCAAGCATATAACAAGACGTTTTGAAAGGTTCAGATGGAAGCGCACAAAAGAAAGCGTGGAGAATTATTTCCTCTTGTCCACCTTCTGAGTGATAAACACAGCCAAGTATCACAGACAAGCATTCTAATTGTGCCACAAAACCACTCTCATCAACCATTTCAAGCAATACCTGGATACTCAAAATGAAAAATTGAGCCCCTTTTGTTTGCAAGACATGAGTACCATTGCGACTAGCTGTCCAATGGGCCTGAAGCTGTACATGCAAGCATATAACAAGCCGTTTCGAAAGGTTCAGTTGGAAGCGCACAAAACAAAGCGTGGAGAAATATTTGCTAATGTACACCTTCTCTGTGATAGCTCAGCTAAGTATCAGGAAGAGGAAAGCTTGTGCCACTAAACACTCTTGTCAACCTTTTCAAGTAATGCATGGAAGCTCAAAACAACAACTTGAGCAACTCTTGTTTGGAAGACATGAGTATCGTGACCACTAGCTATTGAGTTGGAATGATGTGGTATATGAATGCGTACAACAAGAAGTTTTCCAAGGTTCAGATGAAAGCACACGAAAGAAAATCTTGAGAACTATTTGCTCCTATTTAGCTTTTGAGCAATAAACACAGCCAAGTACATTTCACGAGCAAGCAAGCTTGTGCCACCCAAACACTTATTCAACTATTTAAAGTAATGTGTTGAAAGTTAAACTGAATATTTGAATCAATTTTGTTGTAAGACAGGAGTAGCAATAGAAATACTTAGTTGGCCAGTGGTGAAGATGCTTTCATGCAGACGTACATTAAGCTGTTTTCAAAGGCTCAGATGGAAGCACACCAAACAAAATTTTGATAATTATTTGCTCTTATTTTGATCCTGAAGAATAAACACGGTCAAGTACCGTTCACAAGTGAGCAAGGTTGTGCAAAGCCAACCAAACTCTCAAATTGACCGTTTTGAGCAGTGCATGAAAAATTGATCTGAATATTGGATGTAGTTTTCTTTCAACAATACCAGTATTGCAAAACCTTTTTAATGTGTTTGTATGTAATCATTTTGTACTTGTACAGATTAAAGACTTTATCGATATCTTTCATTGTGTGTGTTGAGACCAGAGAGCGCAATTGCTATGTCATAACAGAGACGCCTTGCCTCTCGACTGTGTCGTGTGCACTTTTTCCTCAAGGTCCAAGCTTCGTAGAGCTCATTCGCACTCTTCCCTGGAATTCTTGCATGGCCCCTTGTGCTTTGTGCCTTTCTGCAATGACAGAACACGTGAGCGAGGCTTGGTCTATCTCTCCTGAATATAAGGATTAATTGTCTTTTATCTTCTTGTGTATGTTCATATAATAGAAAATTACTCACTCACTATTTTCTGTTAGAGATTTCTCATAAAAAGATTATTCATTGCACAAATACAACATTTAAAATATTGTTTTTTTTATAAATTGAAAAGCAATATTTGTGGAAATATAACAAGTGTACAACTAAGGTGATCAAATGAAATAAAGTACTTTGGTAATTATCTGATATACTGATCTGTTATACTTTTGCACATATTTGCATCTCATGATATGAACTAGTTAAAATTGGTTATTTCTTGAGGTCGTGTACAGCCAACTAATGGAGCTGAAAAACTGAGTATTTTAGACCTTTCAACACACAAAAAAACAAAAATGTTATGCGTGTCTAGGTATTTGGTCTAATAAGTTTACTGATGTACTACATTGACTATCAAGATTGACATTGAGCCCTATCAAGTCCTATGTATGGCCCCCATTCAGCCCCATTAGCTCCTATATTGTGCTAGATGAGAGTCCTACATACCAAACCCATAATGCCTATATAGCTCCTACATACCCCTATATGTCCTGCCCAGGTCCCATTCAGCTCCTACATACCACCATATAGCTCCTGTATAAGACCTATTTACCCCCATTTGGTTCCTGTACAGCTCCTTTATTAGCTCCTGTAACCCCTGTATTGAAGCATACGGATCCTGTATGGAATTATATAGGTTTTTTCAGTATGGGAGGCAGGGGTTTCTTTACACCTCTTATCAACCGGGACTAATAGCACAGTTCAATTTCACTTCCGTGTGAACACCTTCACACTTCAAAGATGTTCACACCTTTCATCAGGCTTGAGCATTTAGAGCAGCCAAAAAAAATGCACTCGTCTCTGAAACTTTGCAATGCGACATTCCCGGAAACAGATGAAATGTTGGCAATGACTGCTATGACCCGGTGAAAATAGTGCAAACGCTATTTTCACCCCACTCGGTTTGGATCTGTACAAAGCTATGGCTTTTAGAGAATGGTGGGTAAGGCAACCATAGGATCTCTGTAGAGTTAAATCTGGTTCTTTGGGCATATTTTCTTCACATGTGGCGTGCTGTGGCTTTAGGGTACTCTAGGTTAGGCAACCTCAGCTTCTCTCGGTGTGTGGCATGTGTCCATGTGCACGTGTGTGGGATGAGCTGTACGCGATCACGAGCTGTACACATCTGTGTTGTGCTGGACGTACACTGATTGCGGTGTCCTTTTTTGTGAGCGGGGGCTCTGCGATTGAGCTGATTGTTGCCCATGTGCTTGACGAACGCGGACGGTGTTTGCAACACTTGAAAATGCACTAGAATCCCTTGCAATAGAGACCATAATTGCACTGTCACTACGTGCTTCAGCGCATATTTTGTGATTGCAATATTCGATTTTTTGTGTGTGAGGGGGCAGTGTTCGTTGTACAAATTCTACCGAGCATGAAAGTGTGTTTTTCACTGTGCTTGATCATATGCTTCGGCAACTTGCTTTTGACTGCTTTGCCGCGTGCTCATGGAATGTATCAATTCATCAATGAGTGGCATTTCAGGCATTTTATTGTTCAACGAGGTCAATTTTCTGTCTCGGTTAAGCCATGCAAGTGTTACACGATGTCATTTTGATTGAGATCCTGATAGTGATTGCAAAATGCAGAAGTGAGTCGTTCCTGCTTGAGAAACACGAATCAAATTGAAAGAGTCTGTGGGCTCTACTCATTCCTCGTACAGCTGCATACGATCATACTATCGATAGTTGTACATAAACAAGTGTTCGACGCCTAGGCATGTAGTACGTGCAGTTTGCGCCCTGCAGGTTTCACTGCCTACGCGTGCTTCATTTTCCGGCGCCAAATCGCGCCCTTGTAAGCAACAAAGAAACTAGTATCAATTCCTTTTAGAGACAAAAAACAGATAAGCACCTGTTTTGTTTTTTGCGTAATGGGAAAGTAAACGAATTTCTAAAGAGAAAAAAACTTCGTCCATGTAGAATGACAGCAAAAAAGCACTTGAAAAATGGTGACTTCTCTAAATATATAAAAATGTTGTACAAAGACATAATTTACATTTTGAGATTTCCGTATATCATTGAAGGAAGGTGACTGTGGTGTACTTAGCAAAACATACTAAATGACAATAAACATATGAACAAATGTTTTACACATAGATGTATGTTCAACAGTTGCATATGTTTTATATACCCAGCTGTTTACATTTGCATATAGAGTCCAGAAGCAACCCGAGTGTTATCAACATTGGTTGCGGTAAGCTGACATGTAGCGCTTGCGCTCCCAAGAGTGATAGTCCCGAACAGTGCTACATAAATTTACCAAAGTGTATGGCACTGAACTACAAGCGACGTGAACCGGTCATGACGGCTGCATCGTTGGAGTGGTGTAATTTTTAGAAAATTCTATAGTGGGCATTGCAACTGCAATTGACCTTTCAAGCTACATTGTAACTTAGTGGTGTCTATTTCCACAGCTGTGTCGAGACCTGGTGTGGCTCTGTGGTAGAATACTTAATTGCCATGGAGAATGATTTTCATTTCACGAGTGAATTAAACCACTGTAAGCACACATTAACAGTATTTGTGCTATGAAGTGGTTTTTCTGCTAGTAAAAACAAAAAACTCATGACCACGCCCCCCCCCCCTAAAATGTGCGGCTGGATCCGCCCCTAGCTTCACATACACAAAATTTGGTGTTAAGTGACATCAATAGATGACGAATGTATATGACTGGTGCAAACATTATAAACATGACATTCGTGTCATGTGAGAACATGGCATCATACCACGCTCAAGATGCAATCGCAGCCGTTTCGCTAGCTTCACATAAAACGAACTGGGTAATTATGTGACGTAAATGGACTATGAAGGTAAATGACACGTCCAAACCTGATAATCATCATATGCATGTCATGTAAAACATCACTACATGCTACGCTTATAGCTGGCTCGAGGGCGTTTCGCTAGCTCCACATATACCAAATTTGGTATCATGTGGCGTGAATAGACGATAAGATAAATAACAATTCCAAACATAATAATCATGACATGGAAGTCATGCTGAGTATAATTTACGTCCATTTCATAAAATTCTGATATTAAGCAACACATCAACCTTCCTCATTCGTGCTTCACATATCATCGATTCCCACTGTACGTGGGATCTGCTATTTTTTAATGAATGGTATCATTAGCCTATTTCTCATTTTCTGCATTCACACTTTAACCCTTTGGACCATGGGTGCATTATCTTAAGTTGCACACGTGTGCCTGGAAGCCACCTACAAAGTGGGTTATAATAGGCCTGGCCTACTTTCGACGTGTCTTAATACACTATTTGTCTACTATGCTTCTAAATTGCAAGTGCACCTTCTTTCTTGCCTTTTTGCTAAATGAGCTCTATTTCATACCTGTCGGCTTCATAATAAGATGTGACAGCATTGTGTGCCCTAAAATAAAGTGATATTCATACCCTGGTTTCCTCTTGGCTGTGTTGATGCCAGGGATGCATGCAGAGTCCTTGTACAGCTCTGCCATGTAGTACGAAACACAAACGCACACAAAAACTCTTTTATTCAAGGTAGAGGTACGTGTAGGAGCGAGTAGAGATTAAGTGACAAAATGCTAAGGAGTTCTCAGGGTGGGGCTACCTCGCTGAGCTAGCGGGACCTGTGTTCCCATCCAGCCTCTGCCACTTTTGAACTACAATTAGGTTTTACTAAGTCGAGAATGAGCAAAATTAGGCGTTTGTGTTAGCATGGAAGCACATAAAAGCAGCAGAGACCAAGCTGAGAAGAAATATTGCATCTTTACCATTCTGAAAATAATTATTTCTTTCTGTGGCAGACTTATCCAGTCTCTCTTCAGTATATGGCTATGCAAAGCAATCTTATGATGCAAAACAGTTCCAAAATATTCTCTGTAAAGTTGGGGCTGCGTTTTCTGGGGTACATTTAGCTAGTGTGAACGCTGCATTAGCATTGGACTAGATTAAGTTGTGCATTTTTTGATGGGGAAGAAATTTTATAGCGCCATAAAAAAAGGTGGATAAAAATGACAAACACAACATATGTGTCTTTCGCGATCTATTTCATCTACTGTGCTGTTTGATACCTTCCTAAAAAATCCATCTTCAGTAGTACACCTGCAGTGTCGGCTGCCATGCAGTCTAAACAAGTGCTCCACAAAATTTGGTAGAGTCATTCATTTCAGAGTACGAGAGTCGATTGATTTATATGTGGGGTTTAACGTTTCAAAGCCACCATATGATTATGAGAGACGCCGTTGTAGAGGGCTCCGGAAATTCCGACCACCTGGGGTTCTTCAACGTGCACTCAAATCTGAGCACACGGGCCTACAACATTTCCGCCTACATTGTAAATTCAGCCGCCGCAGCCGGGATTTGAAGTATACTACACTTGCGAGAAAGTCAGAAATTCTAAAGTTGGAGAGAAAGGACAAAGGTTTCCGGTGCTATATGTGTATTGGTGAGAAAGAATAAACACACCTTTCAGAGAGAAACGGATTCTCGGAAATGGCAGGATTATAGGGACTTTTTAATTTGTATTACGGATGATCTGAAAGTATGGTATGCCACATATATCTTGGCCGGTCTACATATTGCACATGCACATCTGCACTTCACAGCAAAAGTTATTGGAGTGAATTGAGCCAATAAAGTTTTCTTTAAATTTGTTACAGCTGCAGAAACGCGACTTACCGTGGGCTTTTTCTTTGAGCCTAGAAATATGCTACGTATAAGAAGTAGATTCCCACTGCAAGAAAAACGAGTTGTGCAAATTCAACAATGCTTTCACGTGAACGCGTCCATGAAGTCTGAACAACCACGATTTCCAAAGCATACAGGCGATAATTCAATGCATAATATTTTATGAATCTTAGAGCCAGCCCACGTGAGAGCCACGACTGTAGTTTATAACAACCAAGATCATTGTATAATATCTGCCACGAAGTACATTTATATATGATGCACTTACGCCCTGTAATATAGTAGAGGAACATAAAATTTACGGTACAAGCAAAACCATATCAGCAACAAATCAGCCTTGACATGGTAGCTTCGCTGCAGTGAGCCGCCGAGTGAGCGACGTGTAAGCTACATCCAGCGCCGGTCGAAACATTGGTGGAGAGCGTCAGCGCAGGCGGCGCGGTCTTCACGCTTTCCCCATTCTAGCCACTGTAATTTCGACTAGGTGAGAATAGCTGGTATGCTATATTCACCCGGTCGAAAACACAAAAAAGCTATTTTCACCCAACTTGGCTTGTATCTAGGCGGATTTTCGGAACATTGCGGCTTTTTGTCTAAATTCACAATGCCGGTTCAGGCAACCTATGGATTTTTTTTCTTTTGATGAAGGCACGTAGGTATTCTGTCGGCACATCGGGCTTATTTTTTTTTCGTGTTTGTGGTCGGCTCGGTGTTCACGTCGTTGGCGCACACTGTGACTGTGTTTGCCGTTGCAATGTGCTTTGTGAACGTGAATAGTTAGATTATGTTCGCGTTTGGAACCGCTGAAATTGGTGCTTCGCTTGAGCTTGCCTGAAGACCACGGTGTCTAGGACTCGTCAACCTGTTTAAGTGCTCTTTGACATCCGTGATATTTACTTTTGTTGCGTGTGCGTTGGTGACGGTGTGGTAGACCGTACGTGCTGCCAGCTTAGTTTAGTGCGCTTGTAGTTATGTGGTTTGCGCGGCTGTTCAGCAACCTGTTCCGATTCTTGCGCTTGTTCGTCGAATACTTCATTTTTCATACGTAGAAGCATCGAACTCATATTATCTGAGCTGTTAATTGCGCGGTACTTTAACCACTATATCATTCAGAAAAGCTGCCGACCATTTCTGATTTTAAAGTACAGGCATCACACGATATAACTTTGATGGCTATACAGTCCAAGTTTATCGATTGCGTTTGATGTGGAGAAGAATCAATCACAGTCCATAAATTCACTTTCGATAGAAAGTGCCCATGTGACCCCCGCATGCTCACTCAAGCCTTGCTATTCGCTTCCATGGCTGCACGAGCGATGAAAAAACAGTCGACTTTAAGCGTGCGGCTAGCACCCCAGAGGTTCTTTGCATGGAGCAAGATATGAGGCTGTGGACTAGTTGGTATTCCATACTTCAAACTGCTCAGCGGTAAACACAGCAGCACAAGGGAGACGAGAATGAGCGCCAACATCTAATTGAAATTTATCTCAACTCTCAAATGTGTTGCCTACACCCGAGATAAAAACAACACGCTTATGCAGAAAAAAAATCGAAGTGAAGCATAAAATTATAAAAACCACAAAAAACGAAAAGTGATGATATAGAATATGACAATAAATCCACGTAAGCCAGTTCTTTGCAGTCAAAAGTATTGAAGGTTCTGGGTGCCATCATGAAGATGAGTTATAAGAACTTTTGTTTTCTCAAAAAGGCATTGGCAATCGTATTTCTAAATATGAGAAACCAAAGAAACGTCTCTATCCATGTATTCAACTTTTTGCGAATTTCCCTGTAACTATATGCTTGTAACTGTAACTATATACCTACAATCCATGTAACTATATACCTACAATCAGATACTTTCCTGTTTTAACAATGCACTGAATAATCAATTTTGTTTATGTAATGGACCTTGTGATGTTAAAAGAGCTTTGAACCATTGCCAATCTATGCACGGAAAAACTGTGTTGACTGTGCAGGGGGCAACTATTACAGCATATCTTGGTTCTGTGTACAAAGTTATGTGGGTCAAAGAGACTAGTGTCTAAGTATACAGTTTCAGGAACATTGTAAAAAGGTAGAAACCATAGTTAGAGACAGTTCTTTGGCTTCTGATTGTTGAGAATGTGGTTGCCAGCCTCTGTTCGAGAAAACAGAAGCTATTGCAGCTCCCCTTAATGATAACACCACGATTATTATTAATGCTGTATGAACCGCTAAAGGAAGCTGGTAACATTAAACCTTCGATGTTCCTATCTGTTAAAGAACTGGCTTACCTCTATTCATCGTCATGTGCTATTCTGCCTTAGTTTTTTTGCAGTTTGCTTCAGTGCACTTTCACTTGAGTTATTTTTTCTTACCTAGAGCATGTTAATATATTGGATGTGGGCTATATATTGTATGTTGTATAACAGTTCAGTTGGAAGCCTGTGCTTCTCCTCGTGTCACTAGTGGTGCTTTATCTGCAGTGTTGCTGAGTATTTTCCAATCTCTGCACAGATGCATTGTATGCATGTTGAAATTGACATAGCGAAAAACGTGGACGCAGGAACAACAAATACACACCACTGCGCCATCTTGCAACTAACCTTATGAGAAAGCACACCATTAGAAGGAAACCGAAAGTATCAAACTCCCCTGATCTGGTGGACTACAATCACAAAGTTAAGTCCTGAAAAGGCTAGCATGGTGCAAGAATTTGATGTGGAAGAGGGGGTGAAAAACGTCAAGTAATGTAATTTAAAATGCCTTTTTACCGCATCTTATATACGGGACATTTCTTAGCGAGATTTGTCATTAAAATTCGAGAGATATGATGATACTGACATTCAGAATGGCTAAAGTACGGATGCTGATTACAAAACAACGAACATTTACGAGGTATCTCCTGACAGGAAGAGTACCGGAGTCTTGGAAAAACGCTAACATCATCTTAATACATAAGAAAAGAGATGACAAGGACTTGACGAATTACAGGCCGATCAGCTTGCTCTCTGTGGTATACAAGCTATTTACAAAGGTAACTGCTAACATTGTAAAGAGAACATTAGAATTCAAACAGCCAAAGGAACAAGCGGGATTTCAAAGAGCCTACTCAACAATGAACCACATGCATACTCAACAACAACCACATGCTCAGAATATAACCTACCACTATACATAACCTTCATTGATTACGAGAACGCGTTTGATTCAGTAGAAAGATCAGTCGTCATGTAGACACTGTGGAATAAGGGCGTCGATGAAGTATATATAAACATTCTGGAAGAAATCTACAGGGGAACAACTGCTACCATAGTGCTTCATAAAGAAAGCAACAGAATACCAATCAAGAAAGGTGTAAGGCAGGGAGACACAATCTCCGCAATGCCATTTACCGCCTGCTTACAGGAGGTTTTCAGAAGCCTAGAATTGGAACAGCTAGGAATAAGAGTTAATGGAGAGTACCTAAGTAACCTGCGCTTCGCCGGTGACATTGCATTGCTGAGTAAATCAGGGGACGAATTGCAACTAATGATTACGGAGTTAGACAAGGAGAGGAGAAAAGTGGGTCTTAGAATTAATCTGCAGAAAACGAAAGTAATGTACATCAACTTCGGAAAAGAGCAGCGCTTCGAGATAGGTAATAGTGCACTTCAAGTTGTAAAAGACTATGTCTACTTAGGGCAGGTAATAACCGTGCAGCCGAACCATGAGATTGAAGTAACTAAAAGAATAAAAATGGGGTGGAGCACATTTGGCAAGCACTCTCAAAATATGGCAGGCAGATTGCCACTATCCCTCAAGAGGAAGGTATATAACAGCTGTATCTTGCCAGTACTTAGCTACGGAGCGGAAACCTGGAGACTTACAAAGAGGGTTCAGCCTAAATTAAGGACTTTGTAGTGAGCAATGGAAAGAAAAATGGTAGGTGTAACCTTAACAGACAAGAAGAGAGCAGAGTAGATTAGGGAACAGACGGGGGTTAAGGATATCATAGTTAAAATTAAGAAGAGGAGATGGACATGCGCCGGGCATGAAGCACGTAGACAGGATAACCGCTGGTCATTAAAGGTAACTAACTGGATTCCCAGAGAAGGTAAGCGGGTCAAGGGAAGACAGAAGGTTAGGTGGGCAGATGAGATAAAGAAGTTAGCGGGTATAAATTGGCAGCAGCAAGCACAGGACCGGGTTAACTGGCGAAACATGGAAAAGGCCTTTGTCCTGCAGTGGACGTAGTCAGGCTGATGATGATCATGACTAAACGTGGCATATAAGAGTACGAGTGTAAGACAAACATGACTGACACATCATGGTTTGAATGACTTGAAAGACCTGCCGCGTAAATCATGAAACCCTTTCCCATACGCACCTGGTGCACACCCATGACCCATGAAATTTGGGCATGTCCCACAGATCATTGGTCAAACAGACATTAGAAATCTTACCATGATAACTTTAAAAAACTTACGTCAAAAAAATTCTGCTGCCTGTTTCAGTGACAGTGCCGGAGAGTAAAGTATTTCTTGATTATTCAGAATAAATATCAAAGTTATAGGCAAAAGTGAACCCAGGCGTCCAGGCGTTCTGTGAAGCAGTCAATTGTTCTACCCCAGAGTTGTATGACTAGTGAAAGTTGTGTCTACCTCTGGATATGGGGGTATGATGCAGCTATTTCCTTTTGTTATGATCTATATGCCAGTCATTCTTTAGCATCGCATTAATCAAGTGCCTCAATTATTAGGCTGCATTTGCATGGACCTAATTTAGCCATGAATTTATGAGCAGCACTATATAAAGAAAAGGTGTGGTGAAAATTACAGGCACAGCATGTGTGTCCCATTGCCTTCTCTCAATTTCATCAACAGGGCCGTTATTCCCTCCTAAAAAAAGTAATATTCAATGCTACACCTGCATGCACTGTGCATGTGCCACTAAGTACATTCCAAACAAGTGCTCCACAAAAACTCTGGAAGTCATTTCTTTCGAAGCCAATTACATCTGTTATGTATTAAGTATGCCACTTTTGCCAAACTGTGATGAAAGCATATGCAAAATTTATTATAT